AGCTGCTTGTCTTATCTCCAGTCCCCAGGCAAGAACATGCAGGAGTCTAGACAGTAAGAAACAGACCCAAAGTACAAATAAATGCAAGAGCCAAATTCTATCAGCCTGTTTAAAACAGCAAAGTGCACCAGTTACCACCTAGTGCACCTGTATCAGAGATTTGAAAAGTAGGACAATACTGAAGAGACTGGCCAACCAGAAAAATGAAGGATCTATTTTCAAACAAAGTATCATTTTGCCTGGAAAGTCACAGGAGACAGAATTGAAGAGTCAGGGTTCTGTGACCAGAAGTGATTAGTCTTCAGAAAGCCACTGGCTCCACAATTGTTGAGAAAACTGCTATTCTCTGCTGAGCTGCCTTAGAACCTTTGTCAAAAAATCAACTGGCCTATGTCGAGTTATTTCTGGACTCCATTCTGTCCTATAAACCTATTTGTTTATCTTGATGCAAGTTCGGTGCTGTCCTGATGGCTGTCACTTTGTGATAAGTTTTGAAATCAAGAATTACACATCTTTGAGGTTCTACTTTCTCTTCCAACATTGCTTTGGCCCTTCTGGGGGCTTTTAAATTTTTATAGACATTTCAGCATCAGATATCAATAGCCTTTTTAAGAAAATAAGTTTCTGGCAGAGATTTTGATTGTCCTGAGTCTATAAATCAGTCAAGAAAGTACTGACCTAATTGCATCAAGTCTTCAAGTCCATGAACCTAGTATATCTCTCAATTTTGTATGTCCTCTTTAATTTCAGTTTTGTGGACTTGCTGCCCAGGTTTTATATGCCTAACATTTATCACTAAGTAATATTTTTAGAGTTTAACTCCCAGTCATTTATTGCTTTATGAAAATTCAGTAAATATTTACATTTTGAGTTTAGGTGCTGCAACCATGCAAACCATATATCAATTCTTTCTTCTTTTTTGTAGTTCCATAGTATTTTCCACATAAATGATAACATACGCAAGTGAAGACAGATTTTTGAGAGTTTGTGTTCAAGAAGTCCACATTAGATAAACTTTTCGGAATATTGGAGTGAAATAGAGGGACTATCTAATATGGAAATAGATGGATTTTTCAAGTGACCCTTGGGGTAACAGATGCATCGATCTGGTAGCTTCATAAGGCTGACATCTGTTTTCATGGATATTCCACGAGGATTGGATGATAGCTCAGCACAGATCACATGGTTATTTCTACTCACCATTTGGCATATTGAAATAAAAAATAGCCTCGGGGTAGAAACTGGTCAAGAATTCTTAATACAAAGCATCACCTACTCCCGCTCTGACATCCACAAAGCCCGTTCTGGTCTCTGAGAGTCTCGCCATACCTCCTCCTGTCCTTTCACCCCGGAGTCAGACTACACGGCAATGTAGATTACACTATGCTAGGTCCTCCACTCAGAATCTGAACGTCCCCATTGCAGCGCAGTGCTCATCACATATTTGTTTCTACCTGTGTTGGTCAAGTTCATTCCAAGTCTCTCTCTGTGCAGCTTTCTTCCACTCACATTCAGCCTCTCCTCTCTCTGCTATTTTTTGTCCAGTCAATTGTCATCATGTCTCCTGAGGCCCCTCCTAATTCGCCCACTGACCTGATAACCGTTCTCAGAGCACCTAGCCTTTTCCTGACCTTGAACTCACATTTGTCATTTGACAATTACAAAGAGACATATCTGGAGAGCCTGGATCGTTGCTAGTTTGTTTACTTCTCTTTTTGTCCGACAAGCAGTGGGCACTGGATGAATGGCTAGGACCATGTTCCATTTCTCTGAGTTCATATCTAGGTACAGCCACTCCCAACCCCAGCCTTTACGAACAATCTTATGATATGTCTGAGTTTCTCTTCCTTTAAAAGGTTAGTTTAGACCTTGGGCTTCATATTAAAAATCTCCCCCAAGAGATTCTAGAAAATACAGATGGCCAGTTCACTTCAAACCATCAAAATCCAAGTTTCTGGGGGTTAGGGCTTAGCATTTGCTTGTGGAATTCTCTAGAGAATTCTGATCTGAATCAGGAATTGAGAGCCACTGACAGAAGAAAGGCTGTTTCCATTCAACCAGGTGTAACTAAGAACCACTAACAAAAAAGGCTGGCTCCATCCCACCAGGTGTTGGATGGACTCAAATGGAAAGGCCAAGTTGTAGAACACTGTCCCCTGAGTGTAATAGCCACCACGACCTTCACCAGAGCAGTTGTGGTCACACACAGAGCCCCTCAATGTCAGGTTTGTTGATGTTCCCTCCTAAAAGGGGGAGTTGGGGAGGGTCCTTATACCATTCCCTGAGAGTCCAGCCACCCCCACCCCTTACCACATACCCCCCTACCCCCACTCCTGTGTTTCCTTCCCAGTTTTCTGTAATTCTCCCCCTGCTGAATGTGGTCTCTGGAGCTATTAGAATACAGAGGGTGGAGAGCTAAATGAAGAGGGGACTGAATCTATTCAACTATGGGGGAGTTGTCATTCATCCTAGAGTGAGACTTTTCAGTGATGTGGCTACTTCAAGGTCATCCATGTTCCTATTAAAAAAACTCATCAGTTCACCACATTGGATTTGGATGAACAGGCTTTTTTATTCATGTCTCCCGTGAGAAGTTAGTGTAATGGACCAGCAGGAGAAACACATGGGAGACCTCTGCAGGGCAAGTCCCCTTACTCCCTAGCCAACTCCATCCCCATGCAACAGGGAAAAAAAGGAACCCAGACCAGAATGGAAAGCATTTTCAAACTTTATTTACAACTGTCACAGTGACAAAAAGTAGTTTGGAAAAAAAAATGCTAGTTTCTCCCTGAGCCTCAAAACAGAACAGACAGAAGTCACAGGAGGTTCATCTCACAACAGGCAATGTCACTGAAATACTAGGATTTTTTTTTTTTTTCAATACGATCAGTTAGAAATACACACAAATTACAAGAAGAAGAAGAAGAAGAAGAAGAAGAAGAAGAAGAAGAAGAAGAAGAAGAAGAAGAAGAAGAAGAAGAAGAAGAAGAGAGCAGACAGGAGCTCAGCCACTTGTCCAAGAGCAGCTGGGTCCCCCCAACAGGCTCAACCGCTGAGGGGCCTGGCATTACCTGTCAGCCCCCGCCTGCTCAGACTGTACACAGTTGTACAACATGGTCTAGTGACCAGCAAAAGGAAGAAACCACCCCATAAACACATGTATACACAAAGCCGATTTGATACTGGATTTACGAGCACATTTCCATCACACGGCAAGACCAAGACAGATACTTGGGGTAGGGGTGAGAAGACACCAAAACACGGGAATTTAAAAGGCCAGACACCTGTCCATAAAGGGAGGTGAGGGATGAGAAATGCTGCAGGAGAAGTGGAGTGGGACCAATAGATAGATCTCTGTAGCCAAAACAGAGCAGAGCGAGAGCAAGAGAGAGAAGCTCCCCCATCGCGGGGTTGGCTGCAGCCCTCTCCCAGTTCTGCAAGGGAGCCGGAAAAAATTATTGCCATCGGTGTGTATCACAGGCAGACGACAGAGGGAAGATGCAGGGGATGGGGGGTGACCATCGGCATCCTAAAACCAAACCTTGCTGAATGCCGTGTCAACAGCGCACCCCCACGCTCTTGCCCCAACGTGCCCCAGGGCCACACTGACTTTGAGGTATTAAATACAGCTAGACACACTAGTCCAAAGAGGGTGGGGTGTCAACCTTGACTGACAGAGACACGAGGGGATATTGTGAGTACTTCAGTTGGCTGAGGGAAGCCCAAGGAAGGCTTTAAGTCTGTCTCTTGACCAAACCGTCCCGCTCTGAAAACTGTCTTCTAACCTGCTATTCCAGACGGTTCTGAGCTATGATCAGAGAAGCTCAGTCCGGATGTTAGCTTCCCCATGCAACAGCTGCCCTTGCCAGAAACAGGTGAGCTGGGGAAGGGATGAAGGCTGCCGTTCCATAAGGACACCCCAATGCACCCCATATCTTCCCTCAGGAGCAACATGGGGAGTAGCAGTGACCCCATAACAGCTACTCCACCGGAGATCTGGTACCATGTGGGAACCTCAGCATATCCACGTGGTGCCATCCAGATTCCTGCATTAAAGCCCACTAGCCAACTAGCCAACCAGGAAGCATGCTCTGCGTTTAGCTCCCACAGAAGCCAGTTTGGGAACCCTATTAGAGTGATGCTGGGCAGGTCAGATGGGTGACAGTCCTAGCAGAGCAGGGAACCATCCTCCTGACTGCTGTGGCCAAAGGAGAAGCAGGCCTGGGGGAGCTGAGCCTTCTCCCACTCTGCTCCATGGGGACTTGGTAAGAATTCTTGGGAGACCCACAGTGGAAGGAGACACGCCATGTTCAGGCTGCAGCCTTGGAATGTCCCACAAGGGCAGAAGTGCTCTGGCTATTTCCCAATGCATTGGGAGAAAAAAAAAAAAAAGGGTAGACAGGGAGAAAAACTCAAAAGTACTATCCCTTACAGTCCTCCAGGTCCCTGGGGGCTCTGAGAGCCTGAAGCAGCTGGGGCGGAGTCCACAGGCAGGACAGGTGAACTCTTCCGTTATTGTGTGGCCCTCCAGCTGGCTTTGTAGGCAGTTTCTCCTGGCTCTATTTTTCTGCAGGTAGCCAAGACGCTTGAAATGAAAGCAAAGGTGGTGAGCAACAAGGCTGGGGATGAAAACTTGGTTTGTCAGATGACCCAGCAGCCACAGCAAATGCTGGTAAGCACTTCCTGGCTGTAGTTTCTCTTTTAAAATATGGGGTTTGTTTTGTTTTTTGTTTTTTTTTTTTAACCCCAAATGTTTCTTGCTCATTTGTTCACACCCCACCCCCAGCCAGAACCACCACCACCACCACATACACACTGCCTCTGGTACTAAAGCTCAGATAGGGATCTCAGAAGCAGCACCCCTTCCCCACACCCCCACCCACACCCCTGTTCTCAGCAGCTTCCTTTCTCAGCCTTGCAAGTTGTCAGAGGACTCCATTGCTCAACATATTTAAAAAAAAAAAAAAAAAGACAAGAAAAGAAAACCGACTCGGTGATTCTCAGATGCAAAACAGAAGCCTCATTTGACATTTTTCAGAATGATTGTGGCTCACTCTCTTCTTCCATCACCATGGGAAAAAACAGTTCAGGTATTCTGGCTGGCATGACCCAGGTGAGCCTGCAGGGACTCTACTGTTCCTTCTTTTCTTTTGCTGTCTCTTCGCAGTTGTCTTGCTCATCCTCCTGGACCAGGAATTCCTCAGGGGGCCACCGGAGCTCCCCGCTCTCCACCTCTCCCTCTGTGGGTTCCACCACTATGGAGGGCAGGCGGTCCTTCAGTTTGCAGCAACGGTCAAAGTCTGATGGGTCGGGAAAGATCTGAAAATGTAAAGAACAAAGCAGACATCTGGTCACATATATATCTGAAAAGAGAAACTTGGCTCTTTCTTTATATGTGCAAACGCGTGTGTGCGTGTGCTCTCTCTCTCTCTCTCTCTCTCTCACACACACACACACACACACAGAGAGAGAGAGAGAGAGAGAGAGAAAGAGAGAGAGAGAGAGAGAGATCTTCCAAGGATTATATTCTGCCGTCTAGACACTATGGGTGTAAGAAAGGAGTTAGGGGAGTACGTTCTAGGGAAAACTATTCCATGGCCAGACTTTTCTTCTAATCCTGAAGCTAAAAATTTGGGGACCACACCACTGAACAAAAGGGTGGGATGTAACTCTGCTTATAGTGTTTTACTTCTAGATTAAAGAACAGAAAATCATGTCCTTGCATTGCTTTGGAATAAGCTCTTTATGCCTACAATCCACTTCATACAACAGACACAAAAACATTATGTTCCTGCCAGAATAATTACTGGTGCCTAGAAGAAATAAACAACCAGGCTCTTCATCATGTTAAACTGACATAGTCAAAAGCAAGTATTGCTCACATTATGTTAAAAAATCCCAGGTGTGGGCAAACTCCTTGTCTAGGCCCTTTTAGCCTGAAATTAACTAAGACTCAGGCTCAGGTGTGCTTGCTCCCACGCTCCTGCATCACCTACCCCCTTGGATCTTTTTGCAACTGCCAAGTCAAGGCCAAACTCAGATGAAGGCAAGGCCTCCAGTCACAAGCTAGCTGGGACCACAATCCATGGAGCCTTCCTTTGTTTTCACCTGTGAGCACCTCCTGGCTTCCTGCCGGCTGTACACCTAGAGGACTTGCATCTCCTTCCAGAGTCCCATAGAAGAGGTTCCATTTATTAATGCCCACTGTGGGTTCTGTCCAGTGCCGACCGAACCAAACACTGAGCCAGGCTATAAAACTAGGAGCCAAGTCTGGCTTCCCTTTGCACATACTGCCCTGTGACTACAGCTGACCCAATTCTTTGCCCAGTAGCTAAGTACTTAATCCTCTGGGATGCTGGTCCCTTGCCATGCATAGCCCTCGGTGACACACCCAAGAGGAGAGAAGAGCTTTGGTCTGGGAAATTTGGGGCTCACCAGATCACTGACACTAGGCACCTTCAAGGCCATCTCCTCCCACCTCTTTGTCTGACAGACAGGAAACCCAGGCCCCTGAGGGGAAAGGAGACTTCACTGAAGGTCACCCAGTCTGTTCACGTCAAACTCAAGTGGATGGAAAGAGATGTTTGCAGTTTGGAGAAATCCTGGGAAGCTGCTGGCTTTGCTGTACCCAGACTGTAGAAGAAGTTCATATCCATCCTCAGTTCTGTACTCCCGGGGTGTCTGATCTCCCTATATATACTCACAGGCCATGTGCAGCTTCTGAGAATCACAGCCTCACAAAGCATCCCAGTCCCTGCAGACCGGTGATTATTAACCATTTATCCAATAAAGGCCTATTGCTTGGGATTAAGCCTTAAGCCAGCCGCAGGAGCATGCATCATTAAAGACTTAAAAGGGCTCATAAAAAGTATGGTAATAGCAGCCAGAAGGAAAACAAACCAGGGAGGGGCTGGATCCAGCTAATTAGGTAGGCCAGGGGAAGCTGCCCACTGTCTCCTGCCTGTTAAGCCACCCACTCTGATGTTTGCCCTTGGACTCCATGGAGCATTCACATTAACAAGTGTGAGTGGAGAGTGGATCAGCTAAACTTGGGGGGGGCACTTTTGTTCACCTCTATGGAGCTGAGCCCTTCCTGGGGGTGAGGACATGAGGAACCTTCAATGCATGAGCTCTGCTGTGTGATGCAGATGCTCCCCAGTGGGTGGAAATCATGCTTCAGTTTACAAAGGCCTACCAGATGTCTATCACTTCACTGAGACATCCCTACCACCTTAGGGATAGCAAGAGTCTGGGACTCTGATAGTCACAAGGCAGAACCAGGATTCAAACCTCATCCTCAACTAGGATATACCAGGGTCCATATGATCAGGTTAGCTTCCCAGGTGGAAAATTGACCAAGGGGACCATGACTCAGGTCCTCACTGTCCTGTTGGCTGATGTAGGCTCCAGCCTGTGGACAAGGATGACTGTCCAATAAACAGAAGCTCCAAGTTTTCCAGTCCAGACTCTCATCCTTCTGGACCTTCGACGTAGCTGTGGGAGCTAAAAAGAAGCCTCTGGACCAACAAACCTGCTTCATTCCACTAGATAGATTGTGGAATGGCCAGGAGACATAAGAGCCTGATTCCAATGACACTCAAGCCACCGAATAACAGAAAGGACTAGAGGTGGTCCAGGCCAGCAACAGAACAGCTGATTCTACTACAAGCTAGAAGGGTGATGCTGACTGATAATAGATGAGGCCATTGCTGAGCAGGACCTCTGTCTTCAAAAGAACTGTATGAAATAGGTAGTGGTCGATCACTAAAGCCAGAAAATGAAGGCCACATTTCTAGAAATCAGCTGCTCTGGGACTCAGATGCCAACAGGCCTTCAATGAAGTATCCATTTGAGGTCACTTGACTGAGCCACACAATCTGGATCCTTACTACACCCTTGACATCCGTTGTGTGACCTCCATCACGTCCTCTCAAGCTTCCACCCAGTTTTTCCTCCAGAGAAATGAAGTGCTCTGCTCATCACACGCTCGATGGGTCCAAGATGGTAAATATATAAGTGAGGCAATGCTTTGAAGACAGAAGCAAAATTCAAATCATGATGTCTTCTTCACAGCCATTCCCACAGGTCTCCACTCTCCAAGAAGGAAGCAATTCTATTAACACAGTCATGGAAATAATAACAATCAATGGCTTTCATACCAAGAGCTCCACAGTCAGGTGTTTAAGTCTTTGGGGGGCAATCTGAGCATGTGACAACTGATACTATGGTAGTTACCAAAGATGTTTGCACTGTGAGCGGCTCAAAGCAAGAACCATTATAAAGGAAAAACAATAACAACAAACTTTTTTTTGTTTTTCAAGATAGGGTTTCTCTGTGTAGCTTTGGAACCTGTCCTGGAACTCACTCTGTAGACCAGGCTGGCCTTGAACTCATAGATGCCTCTGCCTCCCCAGTGCTGGTATGCACTTTAGGCATGCACCACCACTGCTCAGCTCAGGAAAAAAAAAAAAAAAAAAACACTTTCACAAAGCTTGTATTTGTAAAAAATCACTATAACAATTACTCTAATCTTTCCATCAGAGATTTTATTTTATTATCAGGTCACACAAATTTGTGCCTATGAAAGCTAAGCTCTCTCCAAAAATAAACAACAAAACAAAACAAAACAAAACAAACAAACAAACAAACAAAAAAACACATCCTGCACCAGAACAGCTTCTTTTGTTTCTTCGGGAAAAGACAGAAAGCCTTACAAAGTGTTTCTGAGCCTTTTGCCAGCACAATCTTATCTCCGACAGCTGCTTAAGAGCCTGACCCTGAGGAGGTCAACATTTTTCCACTAAGTCATGGTTTTTAATCATCTAGGCAGCAGAAAAATGAGAGGTTGCACCTACAATTTGATGGGGTGGGGAAGGCAACGGAAAAAAAAAAAGAAGAAAGAACTCGTTCGATTTGCCAAACACATGACAGGTACGGTTGGAGCGGTAGGCAAGCACTGTACTGCATGCCGGGCTGCCCAGTAGAACCTGCAGAGAACAAAGAAATGCCCCTCTTCCTGAAACAAACTGCTTCTGGTTAAAACTTCAAGTCCAAATTGCCCTGTCTTTTCTCTGGGTTGAAAACAAACAAACAACTGGAAAATCCTTCTACAGTAAAGGCTCTTCAGAAAGAGCTATAGGAGGCTCCTTCATGCCCAGCAGGGCAAGTGTAGAAGCATCCAGAAGTCACCTGGGTTTTCTTCAGCCCTATCTCTTCCTGTTTCTGCCATCACTGTCCTCCACAACCAGCTGTCACATGGGCAGGCCCAGCATGATGACATGGACAGAACTAATGAGCACCAAGTTCCCACCTATGCAGATGGAATAGAATCTTGTCAATCACACATGCACTAAGAACATCTTGAGTCCTACATGAGAGGCATGTCATATAGCTCTGGTGATGGTGAATTTCACAGAGGACACTTCTGCAGAAGTACCATTGCCAGATGCCCCCTCATTACAATGGGTCTCGGCACTTTGGGAACTTGAGAAGATTCCATTGAAAGGTGAAGTTTTAGGATGATCCAGGAGGTGGACTATGTAAATTAGGTGCCAGCATAATGCAGTTTCTGGCTGTGAAGGCTAGTGTAGTCCAAATGAATGCTCTGCTGTTATGAAAACGTTTTCTGTGCCCAGTGGCCACTAGTCATGGGTGGCTAACTGAACCCCTGAAAGGTGGCCAAATTTTACATGTGACTTAAATAAACACAAATTTAATGAAAATTCCAACAGCTACTGTACTCAAGCTACATAATTATAAGGACAATGAAAACAGGGTTTTAAGGGAGGCTGAAACTACTGGATTGGCTGACCAATGCTAGTGGCCTCAGAGCTGAGAGCTATGGGGCTGAGGCCAGATTTCTAGAGACCATGAATTCATCAGTAACCTTTTGCTTGGGCTAGAGAGTTGCTGGTGAGCCAGCTCCCATTTCATGAACAGAGAGGAACTGAAAGACAAAACTAGGCCTCCAAAGGCCCCAAATTTGGAGACCTAGCTATCAGCTGTCTGTCTTTAAGCCAGGTGACCTAAACCTAGCTGCTTCTGGGGTGGGGATAAGAAAGACTTGCCTGGCACCTACCATGGAAAATGTGAGCAAGTCTAGTCATTGTGGCCCTTCCCTGTCTGCACTACACGGCCACCATCTCGAAAAACAAGATGGTCTGGCCACAAAGAGGGTGGAGGGCTCAGCAAGGAGCTGGGAGATGCTAATGGGGAAAGCAGACACCAGCAGGTGGAGTAGATGAAAGGCACTTAGCTGGACACAAAGGACTAATTACCAGCTATGCAAGCTGAGACACCAGCAGCCCTGGATACCCTGC